CGTAACACTTGTATCTTCCGCTTCGTTTGCTTTCGTGTCGCCGGAGATGAGCTCTATATCGGACACCATTGAAGAACTGTTTGCCACACTCTCCGCAGCCATAGTTCTTAAAGCTGGGCATAAAATTGTCGGCAATGAAAATCTTGGGCGTCTCTTTGATTGGCCTCTTCTTCAATGGCAAATGAGACCAATTGTGGTGACGATTGTGTCCGCAGTGACCGAACGTTTCCATTTCGTACATGTCTTTAATGGCAACGATATTAAAAGTTTTCAACTTTTGATTAAGAGATGGGAATCAGAAATCATTAGAAACGCTCTCAAAGATTCCTCTTAAATAAGGGTCTGATATGAAGGGCGGAGACAATGGATTGCAAGCATAAAAACTATTGACCACTAAATCATCAAAATTGAGAAAAGGGGGCGAAAATGATAATAAGTGTCGAGCAATGCATAGACATATTGGCCTTACTTTTCAATTATAGGGTTATTGACATGCAGTCGACGATAGCCTTTGACAGGAATTAAGTATAGCTTCTGTAGTATTGGAGCACATGTTGTCTCTTATCATCATATGATTCTCATTAGAAGTGAAAAGTACTGACCATTTGATAGATGAGTCACATTAACAGTAGAATACAGTACATCCATAGCTCAGACTAACTAACCTGGATTCCAATCACTGCACAACTCATGCCAGTGCTTATCAGTGATCCCTTTCTTTGATCATAAGATAGCATTTCTCATCAATTATAGTGTAAATTATAGTTAATATGAATATGAATTAATTTTTACTGTTATCGCTAAACTTTTTCATATTTCTTAAATATTTAATAAAATTTGGTTTTTCTCCAAACATTGATAACTTGTGAAACTTTTATGACAAATATTGACCAAATCTCGACCTAATTTCTAAAAATTGCATTTTTGTTATTTTCGATAAAACATTTTCAATGAAAAATATCTATGTTTTCGGAAGAATTATTGCATTCTTTATCAAATGTATTGCTTTTAATGTTTTTGCAAAATGATTGCATTGGAAAAAATAGGAAGCATTAGATTTCCCCCAAAGAGTGTGTTTTTAATAATATAATGCTTGGAAAATAGGATTGAGAGGCACTGGTGTACTCCCGGCCCTCCGATGTTTCGCTCACATCTCACTAAACAATGCTTACGTGCGCTACAAATAGGAGAAAACATTCAACAAATTGTGTGCATTTCATAGCAATTGTAATTGAATTGATTTATGCGATAAGAAGAGCTGAGCACTCATTTATTGGGCACTCATTCACTTCGGCAGTGCTTTTGTAATAATCTTAATATACGGCTTATTTGATTGAATGCAAGCAATCAAACATATGATGTGTGATTGATATCACATAAATGCTCTCAATTTTTATTTTAAAACTCTTTTATTTATTTAAAATTTGCAAATTTGTGACACGAGTTGTGGCAAAAGCCCAGACAATGGGAGCGCAACGTCGGCCGGGAGTTAACCCTTCACTATACACGACAGGCAATGACTGAATCAAACTCTTTTATTAACTCTTTTAAATTAAAGCAAAATTCTTTTATCTGTGGTTTTATTTGCTGTCATTTAAACCACAAAAAAGCAATTTTCGAGAAAACTTCTGATATTACAAAAATTTAATTGATTTGACGAAAGCAATGATCAATTAAAGTGCGAATAGAAGTAATGCATAAAATATTGATAAATAGTAAATACAGTATATTTACAATTAGTATAAGGAGTTGGAAAGAAGGAGTGATACTATGCAGTCGTCCCTATCTTATGATGGCTATCGTATTACCAAATACAAGGGAAATGGATTTTAGGACAAATCATACAAATAAAACTATACACAGACTACTGTATGATTGAGTAAATTATACTTTATTTATAGGACATGGAGTGGTATGAGTGGTCTGATGGACATCTATGTGACAAAATCGGTCGGCGCTCACAAACCAGAAGAGACAACACCTGCTGTGAGCGCGGAAACTGAGTTCAAATGCATGTTCCGACTCAACATTATTCATGTTAAACAAAACACTTTAAAACTTCTTAAAAGCAATAGTCATTTGGCAAATACTAATCATTTGTGTTATGAAAACATTGTTTTAATTGTTTCCTTTCGGTTCATATAAATTAATATTATTGAGAAAATTAGTCCAAAGAAGTGATTCTATAGTTTGAAACCTTAGAAGAATTAAAAGCGATTTAATTTAGTATTTTGAGAAGCCTTAATAGTAGATCACTGGACACAACACAACAAAAATGCCAATAAGACCTATATTTGTCAATCAAATCGATTTCTCTGATACCCAATCAAACCAAAGGATGTGACACAACAAGAAGTATGGATTGGCTGCTGATTCGTGTGCGCCTGTCATCAACGGATCCATTCTCGACTCTAAGACAGAAATAGTCTTTATTGGAAATGCTGGCTTTAATTATATTCTGAAGCCATAAATAATCCAAAACTTTTTCATTTAAACGACAAATGAGTAAATGTTTTCAGTAATGAAACCGATTCTAAAGATCTCAGGTCTCTATTCTCAGCATTTAATGTGTAATAAAAATTATATAATATATTAATAAAAACTAAAATATCCTTTGAAATGCTTCTCAAACTTTATTGAAAAATGAATTTTATTGAAATATTTTTAAACAAAACTACAAGAATTTTTGTTAACATTTCTATGAATTCATAATTGAATGAAAAATATGAATATAAACTGAAAAATGGACGACAATTTGTACATTTCGTGTAATTTGCCATCATTTGCAACTTTGGAAACACAACAACCAAATGAAGTCATAAAATCAGTTCAAAAACATATTGATAGCCAATCTGTGAGTTATGGAGTGGAGTATCCGTCGACGGGCTCTCAATTAGCATATTCTGGTGACTCTTGTAACGGAGCGCCTGAATCCCAAACCATGGATTTCGATCCCATCACTACCTTATTTGCCTGTCATTCGCCAAATTGCAAGTAAGTATAAAAACACTTTTATATC